ATATGCCAGTTCTGCGTCTAAATATGCCAGTTCTGCGTCTAAATATGCCAGTTCTGCGTCTAAATATGCCAGCTCTGCGTCTAAATATGCCAGCTCTGCGTCTAAATATGACAGTTCTGCGTCTAAATATGCCAGTTCTGCGTCTAAATATGCCAGTTCTGCGTCTAAATATGCCAGTTCTGCGTCTAAATATGACAGTTCTGCGTCTAAATATGCCAGTTCTGCGTCTAAATATGCCAGTTCTGCGTCTAAATATGCCAGTTCTGCGTCTAAATATGCCAGTTCTGCGTCTAAATATGACAATTCTGCGTCTAAATATGACAGTTGTGCGTCTAAATATGACAGTTGTGCGTCTAAATATGCCAGTTCTGCGTCTAAATATGCCAGTTCTGCGTCTAAATATGCCAGTTCTGCGTCTAAATATGCCAGTTCTGCGTCTAAATATGCCAGTTCTGCGTCTAAATATGCCAGTTCTGCGTCTAAATATGCCAGTTCTGCGTCTAAATATGACAGTTCTGCGTCTAAATATGCCAGTTCTGCGTCTAAATATGCCAGTTCTGCGTCTAAATATGCCAGTTCTGCGTCTAAATATGCCAGTTCTGCGTCTGGTGTCATCTTGTGCGTACGGGCCTCTGTCCTCCTAAGGTTTCCCCAACGTCAAGAAACTGTCGTGCTAAAGTGCCACCTTATCCTAACCCTACCAGAGGACCCAAAACAGAAAACGGGTCAATTTCGCCAGCCGCTACCATGTTTGTAATACGGTCCACCACCACCACTGGGGAGCCGGTCGGCCGAGCGGACAGCACGCTGGACTTGTGATCCTGTGGTCCTGGGTTCGATCCCAGGCGCCGGCGAGAAACAATGGGCAGAGTTTCTTTCAGCCTATGGCCCCTGTTACCTAGCAGTAAAATAGGTACCTGGGTGTTAGTCAGCTGTCACGGGCTGCTTCCTGGGGGTGAAGGCCTGGTCGAGGACCGGGCCGCGGGGTCACTAAAAAGCCCCGAAATCATCTCAAGATAACCTCAAGATAACCACCAATACATGGTCCACCTGTCCAACACAACCATATTATAAACCCAAATCCTTGCATACCATCTCACGAAATAAGATCTTCCGCACAAAAGGAAAAAAAATAAGAAAAAACGCGTCAAGAAAAAGACCTTTCCCCTCTTCCCCTTCCTCCTCTTCCCCCCTTCCCCTTCTTCGCTCCCATCCCCCCCCCACTCCCCGCCTCTCCCATCTCCCAACGCATTAGAAGCACATGCCAGCTATATAGTCTGTCTTATATAATTAATGAAATGTTTACAAAAAATCAAATAGTTACCCGTTTGCTCTGAATCTGTGGGAAGGTGATGGGTATAGGTCTTAGGAAGTAGGTGTGGGGGGGTGGGGGTGGGGGTGGGGGGGGGTGGGGGGAAGAGACGGGATGTCCTGAAGTTAAGTGTTTTATGGAACCAAAGTATGAAAAGCTGAAAATTTCGGTTAATTTTCCCACCATTGAATAATGTTGAATATTACTAAGAAAAAATCAGTTTTAATATTTTTTTTTGTTTTCAAAATATGTAGCCAGGTGTGGCCGAGGCCAGTTAAAAAAAAAAAACATCGTGAACAGTTACCCTGACACGGTCCGTCTAATTACCACAGGCTACCACAAGCTTCAGAAAGCTTCCTGGCAATACGTTAGTAATGAATAAATACGATATATTTACTCATTATAATGTTGGTGCTGAATGTACAACACGAAATAACATAATTTTAATCTGAAAAAGTATCTTTTTATAAAGAAATTAGACGAAAATAAAGAGCTGGTGACGCCAAATCAAGTCGACGATCCAAGCTTCGGTTAGGATAAATTAGGATAGGTTAGGATAGGTTAGGTTAGGTTTGGTTAAGTTAAGTTAGGTTAGGTTAGGTTAGGTTAGGATAGGTTAGGTTAGGTTAGGTTAGGTCAGCCTAACCTAACATATCATATTTATTCATTACTAACGTATTGCCAGGAAGCTTGTGAAGCTTGTGGTAATTAGACGGACCCCCGTGACATGCTGTTTCCACTTGAACTGTCTTCCAACAGCTCGTTCTGCTTTCTGTCAAGGAAAGTTGTCTTCGCTTCATCCCTTACTATGTTGTTTTAGATTAGGTTACTCGGAAGACAAATTCCAAGTAGCACGGGCTATGGTGAGCCCGTGCTATGACTATAATCCCATACTGATTGATGAAGTTTAAGCCACCCAAGAGGTGCCACGGGCATGAATAACCCGTAAGGTCACACATACTAATGCATAGTTTTTTTTTTCCTAGGGGAGGATGGTGTGTGTGTGTGTGTGTGTGTGTGTGTGTGTGTGTGTGTGTGTGTGTGTGTGTGTGTGTGTGTGTGTGTGTGTTCACTCAGATATGTTTACAGAGTCGAAACTATAGCTCCCTAGCCCCAACTTTCCCTCTCCTGGCAGCCGTCCTATTTAATTGCGACTCGTATAAAGTCGATGTTTTTCCTGACTACTCTCCGGCTCATCTGTGTGCCTCCAGCCTCCGCCCGTGTCCTCTGGTCCTGCCTCATTTTGAACACTGACTCTTTGTCCACCCCGACAATTCCCTCTGTCCCTTAATATCCTGGACGTTGTAATTATATCTCCCCCTGATTCGGCTTTTCACTAACATGGCGAGTTTGGGCTCCCTCCGACTTTCAGTGTAAGGGGGCCAAGTTTAATCCGTTGCTCTGTACTGTTAACCGTTTTCATTTCATGTAATTTTTTTTTAAGATGTAGATTAACTACAGGTGCTGCACACTTAATAATTGGTCTGACGTAGGCTGTATGTATATATATATATATATATATATATATATATATATATATATATATATATATATGTATGTATGTATGTATGTGTGTGTGTGTGTGTGTGTGTGTGTGTGTGTGTGTGTGTGTGTGTGTGTGTTGTTGTTGTTGTTGAATATGACCGAAAAAGTAAGATTAATAATTCTAACACGTATTTTTTCGATATTCTGTATTCTGCATTCTGTATTAATTCTGCATTCTGTAGTATTCTGATATTCTGTATGTCGATATTCTGCACACTCTACATATCGCCCATGACTAATACCTTTGTTATTAGTCATTGGGCTCTGTTTAACGCCTCGTATGTATTCATGCGTGGAGTATCCTGTTATTCTTCTGGAAGTTGAAGACCACTATCAAGTTCAAGTATGCCCAGCTGTGTCTGGGTACAAGTGACAGGATGAACAACCCAGCGGGTTTTCTTCCTATTGGGGAGTGTTGTACATGCTGCTATGGCGGTGTGTCCACTCACAAGATGAGTGGCGCTGCCCAATAAACTCGCCCCTCGGGGCAAAATTCAAATTTAAATTTCAAGTATGTTTATTGAGATAAGAAAGAAATACATCTCAAAGGGATAGAGTAGCTTAGGCTATTTCTACCCCCTCAAGACCACTATCGTTATCAGGCTCACGCGCGCGCTGCTATTTTTTTTATCACTCCTACAATGTAATTTTCGTATCAATTACAGTCATTGGTCTTGTAGGCTGGTGATATGAGGCCTTATCTGAGTTGGGGGTGTAGTTGGAAGGGAAGGAAACTATCGGGAGGACGCACCAAGCCGTTACGACTATATAGCACCAGGAAGAGATCAGGATAAGGATTTGGAATAGGACCAGGGGGGGGGGGGAAAGGTACGGTCGGGGATTGAACGCCGACCTGCATGAAGCGAGACCGTCGCTCTACCGTCCAGCCCAAGGGGATGGGTGGGGGTATGGTTGGAGTGGGGTGATCTTTGGGGGGGGGGGGTGACCCTTTTGTAGGAGAGATGTACTCACCTAGTTGTGCTTGAGTGGGGTTGAGCTTTGGCTCTTTGGTCCCGCCTCTCAAACTGTTAATCAACTGGTGTGTACAGGTGTCTAGTGCCGGGGTGTTGCTTGGTTCTGGGTAGCTGGTGATGGTAGTAGGCTGGTGATGGTAGTAGGCTGGTGATGGTAGTAGGCTGGTGATGGTAGTAGGCTGGTGATGGTAGAAGGCTGGTGATGGTAGTAGGCTGGTGATGGTAGGAACATTATAATGAGCAGTGTATCATGATTACAATGTTAGGTGTAGGGGGGGGAGTTTGGTGGGGAGGTGGTGAAAGAGGGGGGGTGGGGGGTGGGAGGGGGGATGGAGAGGAGAGATGAAGGGGTCATATCTATGAGTGGTGGAGGACCATCCTGTGATGTTTAGTCTGTCCTGCTCCCGTGTGATAGGTCTGATAGTCCCTGCCCTGGTGTGTGTGTGTGTGTACTCACCTATTTGTACTCACCTATTTGTGCTTGCGGGGGTTGAGCTTTGGCTCTTTGGTCCCGCCTCTCAACTGTCAATCAACTGGTGTGTGTGTGTGTGTGTGTGTGTGTGTGTGTGTGTGTATGTGTATGTGTGTGTGTGTGTGTGTGTGTGTGTGTGTGTGTGTGTGTGTGTGTGTGTGTGTTCACCTAGTTGTGCTTGTGGGGGGTTGAGCACGGCTCTTTCGGCCCGCCTCTCAACTGTCAATCAATCAACTGTTACTAACTACTATTTCCGCCCCCCCCCCACACATACCCAGGAAGCAGCCTGTAACAACTGTCTAACTCCCAGGTACCTATTTACTGCTAGGTGAACAGGTGCATCAGGGTGACTTTGGCAGCTGCTACGGGCTGCTTCCTGGGGGGTGTGTGTAACAAAAAGGAGGCCTGGTCGAGGACCGGGCCACGGAGACACTAACCCCCGAAATCATCTCAAGATAACCTCAAGATAGAAGATGGCCCTTCTGGTCACCACAACCCGTCCCCTCTGGATCACCACAACCCGTCCCCTCTGGATCACCACAACCCGTCCCCTCTGGATCACCACAACCCGTCCCCTCTGGATCACCACAACCCGTCCCCTCTGGATCACCACAACCCGTCCCCTCTGGATCACCACAACCCGTCCCCTCTGGATCACCACAACCCGTCACCACAACAACACGGCCACAACACTCACCTCTACAATAGCCACAACAGACGTAGGCGCCGGAGGAGGCTGTATAATAAAAGGTCCGGTGATGATCCCTGGTGTTGCTGGACGTGTGGAGGCCGGCGTGCCCACGGGCGTGGGGTCGGGGGAGGCTACGGGCGTGGACCTTGGCGTGGGTATGGGCGTAGGTAAGGGTGAGGGCAGGGGGGTAGGGAAGGGCGTAGGGCAGGACCTGGCTACGATAGTCTTGGAGGCGGTGCTGGACCTGGAGGCCGGGCGGGGGAGTGCCATGGGGCCGGCTCGCGGGGTGAGGATGGGCGTAGGTAAGGGCGTGGGCGGGTAGTCGGACTCCTGTAGGGGCTGCCGCCGGTGGAAACACGCGCCGTCGGGTAGGTCATCATAGGTCACGTCTGGAAGCAAAAAGAAAGGAGAAATTAATGATAAGAAAAAGTCCCCCCTTATCGTCCCATTCCAAAATCCTTATCCTGACCCCTTCCCAGTGCTATATAGTTGTAATGGCTTGGCGCTTTCCCCCCCTTGATAGTTCCCTTCCCCCCCCACCACCCCCCAACATGTTATAGTTACGATCAAATAGTCATATATATATATATATATATATATATATATATATATATATATATATATATATATATATATATATATATATGTCGTACCTAGTAGCCAGAATGCACTTCTCAGCCTACTATGCAAGGCCCGATTTGCCTAATAAGCCAAGTTTTCATGAATTAATTGTTTTTCGACTACCTAACCTACCTAACCTAACCTAACCTAACTTTTTCGGCTACCTAACCGAACCTAACCTATAAAGATAGGTTAGGTTAGGTTAGGTAGGGTTGGTTAGGTTCGGTCATATATCTACGTTAATTTTAACTCCAATAAAAAAAAATTGACCTCTTACATAATGAAATGGGTTGCTTTATCATTTCATAAGAAAAAAATTAGAGAAAATATATTAATTCATGAAAACTTGGCTTATTAGGCAAATCGGGCCTTGCATTGTAGGCTGAAAAGTGAGTTCTGGCTACTAGGTACGACATATATATATATATATATATATATATATATATATATATATATATATATATATATATATGTCGTACCTAGTAGCCAGAACGCACTTCTCAGCCTACTATGCAAGGCCTGATTTGCCTAATAAGCCAAGTTTTCATGAATTAATTGTTTTTCGGCAACCAAACCTACCTAACCTAACCTAACCTAACTTTTTCTGCTACCTAACCTAACCTAACCTATAAAGATAGGTTAGGTTAGGTTAGGTAGGGTTGGTTAGGTTCGGTCATATATCTACGTTAATTTTAACTCCAATAAAAAAAAATTGACCTCATGCATAATGAAATGGGTAGCTTTATCATTTCATAAGAAAAAAATTAGAAAAAATATATCAATTCAGGAAAACTTGGCTTATTAGGCAAATCGGGCCTTGCATAGTAGACTGAGAAGTGCGTTCTGGCTATTAGGTACGACATATATATATATATATATATATATATATATATATATATATATATATATATATATATATATATATGTCGTACCTAGTAGCCAGAACGCACTTCTCAGCCTTCTATGCAAGGCCAGATTTGCCTAATAAGCCAAGTTTTCCTGCATTAATATATTTTCTCTATTTTTTTTCTTATGAAATGATAAAGCTACACATTTCATTATGTATGAGGTTAATTTTTTTTATTGGGGTTAAAATTAACGTAGATATATGACCGAACCTAACCAACCCTACCTAACCTAACCTAACCTATCTTTATAAGTTAGATTAGGTTAGGTAGCCGAAAAAGTTAGGTTAGGTTAGGTTAAGTAGGTTAGGTAGTCGAAAAACAATTAATTCATGAAAACTTGGCTTATTAGGCAAATCGGGCCTTGCATAGTAGGCTGAGAAGTGCGTTCTGGCTACTAGGTACGACACATATATATATATATATATATATATATATATATATATATATATATATATATATATATATATATATATATATATATATATACTTGGCATATATGTACATCAAGTGTTATGACACCATAGTTGCCAAGTATTATGATATCATTACATGAATACATGTAAATGAGTCCTAATTTGTTATCGCATCCATTCGCCGAGAGGAAAAAAAAATTATGTGAATTAGTTTATTCATTTGAAAGCGCAAAATAATGGTGATTTATAAACTCATCTCATTTGCATAGCAGAGTCAGATTTGGCCAAGTTCCAGTCACATATAAGTGTCCAACCATGCTAATATGAATTGATAACTAGCAATAAAACTAGGTACATGTGTAACTAGCAATACAACAAACAGTTGTATTGTTTGTTTACAGTTTGTTTACAGTTTGTTTACAGTTTGTTTACAGTTGTGGAGTGTAATCATCTCCACAACTGTAAACAGAGAAAATCAAAGTGATTTGCATTGCAATTGTCGCTATTTTCCTAAGCTGCAACATTACAGAATTTTGATCTTCAGAAACTCCAGTCATACAATTGGCCAGAACCTTTACAACAAGACATTAAACAGTTCCTTGAGTACATAACAAGAACAAACAAAAAAACTGTTGATTGATTGATAGTTGAGAGGCGGGCCGAAAGAGCAGAGCTCAACCCCCGCAAGCCCAACTAGGTGAGTACGGGGGGGGCAGAGTCAAGCATGGGGGGGGGCAGAGTCAAGCACGGGGGGCAGAGCCAAGCACGGAGGGCAGAGCCAAGCACGGGGGGCAGAGCCAAGCACGGGGGGCAGAGCCAAGCACGGGGGGGGGCAGAGTCAAGCACGGGGGGCAGAGTCAAGCATGGGGGGTAGAGTCAAGCACGGGGGGTAGAGCCAAGCACGGGGGGCAGAGCCAAGCACGGGGGCAGAGCCAAGCACGGGGGCAGAGCCAAGCACGGGGGGCAGAGCCAAGCACGGAGGGCAGAGCCAAGCACGGGGGGCAGAGCCAAGCACGGGGGGCAGAGCCAAGCACGGGGGGGGGCAGAGTCAAGCACGGGGGGCAGAGTCAAGCACGGGGGGCAGAGCCAAGCACGGGGGGGGGCAGAGTCAAGCACGGGGGGCAGAGCCAAGCACGGGGGGGGGCAGAGTCAAGCACGGGGGGCAGAGTCAAGCACGGGGGGCAGAGCCAAGCACGGGGGGGGGCAGAGTCAAGCACGGGGGGCAGAGCCAAGCACGGGGGGCAGAGCCAAGCACGGGGGGCAGAGCCAAGCACGGGGGGGGGCAGAGTCAAGCACGGAGGGCAGAGCCAAGCACGGGGGGCAGAGCCAAGCACGGGGGGCAGAGCCAAGCACGGGGGGGGGGCAGAGTCAAGCACGGGGGGCAGAGCCAAGCACGGAGGGCAGAGCCAAGCACGGGGGCAGAGCCAAGCACGGAGGGCAGAGCCAAGCACGGGGGGCAGAGCCAAGCACGGGGGGCAGAGCCAAGCACGGGGGGGGGGCAGAGTCAAGCACGGGGGGCAGAGTCAAGCACGGGGGGCAGAGCCAAGCACGGGGGGCAGAGCCAAGCACGGGAGGCAGAGTCAAGCACGGGGGGTAGAGCCAAGCACGGGGGGCAGAGCCAAGCACGGGGGGCAGAGCCAAGCACGGAGGGCAGAGTCAAGCACGGGAGTAGTGTCAAGCACGGGGGGGCAGAGTCAAGCACGGGGGGCAGAGTCAAGCACGGGGGGGTAGAGCCAAGCACGGGGGCAGAGCCAAGCACGGGGGCAGAGCCAAGCACGGGGGGGGCAGAGTCAAGCACGGGGGGGTAGAGCCAAGCACGGGGGGCAGAGCCAAGCACGGGGGCAGAGCCAAGCACGGGGGGGGGCAGAGTCAAGCACGGGGGGCAGAGTCAAGCACGGGGGGCAGAGCCAAGCACGGGGGGGGCAGAGTCAAGCACGGGGGGCAGAGTCAAGCACGGGGGGGCAGAGTCAAACACGGGGGGTAGAGCCAAGCACGGGGGGCAGAGTCAAACACGGGGGGTAGAGCCAAGCACGGGGGGCAGAGTCAAACACGGGGGGTAGAGCCAAGCACGGGGGGCAGAGTCAAGCACGGGGGATAGAGCCAAGCACGGGGGGCAGAGCCAAGCACGGGGGCAGAGCCAAGCACGGAGGGCAGAGTCAAGCACGGGGGGCAGAGTCAAGCACGGGGGGCAGAGCCAAGCACGGGGGGCAGAGTCAAGCACGGGGGGTAGAGCCAAGCACGGGGGGCAGAGCCAAGCACGGGGGGCAGAGCCAAGCACGGAGGGCAGAGTCAAGCACGGAGGGCAGAGTCAAGCACGGGGGCAGAGCCAAGCACGGAGGGCAGAGTCAAGCACGGGGGGCAGAGCCAAGCACGGAGGGCAGAGTCAAGCACGGGGGGCAGAGTCAAGCACGGGGGGGCAGAGTCAAGCACGGAGGGCAGAGTCAAGCACGGGAGGCAGAGCCAAGCACGGGGGACAGAGTCAAGCACGGGGGACAGAGCCAAGCACGGGGGGGCAGAGCCAAGCACGGGGGGGGGGGGGGGGCAGAGGTTAAACACACACATTGATGTAAACAAACACAGCACTCCACAAGTGTGGCCTCATCATAACACACGAGGAAGTGCAAGTGTGTTATTGCTTTGTCTCTCTCACTCTCACCCTCCTCTCTCATTCCTCTCTCTCACCCTCCTCTCTCATTCCTCTCTCTCACCCTCCTCTCTCATTCCTCTCTCTCACCCTCCTCTCTCATTCCTCACTCTCACCCTCCTCTCTCATTCCTCTCTCTCACCCTCCTCTCTCATTCCTCTCTCTCACCCTCCTCTCTCATTCCTCTCTCTCACCCTCCTCTCTCATCCCTCTCTCTCACTCTTATCTAGTATCTCATTCAACTCACAGAAAATAAGCAATATCATCACAGTATCAAACCTCTAACACAATATCATTACCAGTAAAGCATTATACTACTAGAACAAAGTATAACAACACAGTATACTAACAAGACAGAACAAACAGCACTTATATAACACCTTATAGCACTTATAATATAATATATTAATTATAACTTATATAATTATAACTTATAATACACTTATAACACCACCATTTAGTATAACTGCTATAATCACAACTTTGTTTTTTGTAAATTTGCAAATTTTGTAAAAAAATTAAATTAATTTTTTGTAATTTTGTAAAAAAAAAATCGTAATTTTGTAAAAAAATTAAATTTTGTATTTTTTTTTTGTAAATTTGTTGTAAATTTTTTTTTTGTAAATTTACAGATTTTGATGAGAGGAAAAGCAGCATCGACACGTCGACTTATTTAGGCAAGCAATAGAGGCTCTCACTGGTAGAGCTTTCCCTCGGGTGCTAATAGCCTAACGAATGCTGGTTAACTCTCACGTTAGAATAATTAACAGGAGCAGTGGCCTCGTATGGGCCTGTATGGATAT